AGGACATTAACCGATGCTATCTAATTTATCTATCCTCTACAAGTCTAATACGGACTTGGAATTATTGATTAAAGAAACCCTCCACATCAAACAGCACTCTCCAACACTGAACAACATGCAGTCTTCATTTAAATTATACATTTTTTAATATGTTCATATTACTGGTTTTACTTTTTTTTGTTGTGGTGTTTTCTTGCTGTTGTTTCTTGCCATGATTATTGTTTTGTGTTTTATTTGTTTAATTATCGTTATAATTAGTATACTTTTGATCGAAGTTGCCAATAATTTCATTTGTGGTTCTCTCTTGTTGAAGCTGTAATCGCTCAACCAGCTCCAGCATGAAAAAAAAAAGACTGGTTTTCTAGATTTACGACACTTGTACTATCTAGTTAAAGTTTTGAAAATTAGTATAAAAATACATACTAATGATTGTGACCTACTGTATTGCACCTACTTGTGAACAATTGTGGTTTGCCTAGTTGCATACTACTATACCTTACCTAGTTATAAACTACTGTATCTTACCTAATTGTAAATTACTGTATCTCATCTAGTTGTGAACTATTGTATCTTGCATAACTGTAAATTTCTGTATCTCACCTAGTTGTGAACTACTGTATCTTACATTTTACTATATATGTATCTATGTATGTGACCGAAATAATATACATGATGTGACGACATCTGTTGAACGTCACCAGAAACAAAAATTAATAAAAAAAAATTCACACTTTGTGTATTCAAGATTCAGACAATTAGAAAAATAACTGTGGTATGTGAAACAACCATTTCTTTATCACAGTACACAACTTTCAATAACAGTACTCTCCTCACAAGAACACGGCTTTCACTGGGACTGTACACGAGGGTTTGATTATATATCTTTATTGATGTAATTCATAAATATAATACTAAAAAAATGGAGTTCTTAAGAAAAAAAACACTTTTTAAATATGATACTACTTTTAATATATACAAAATATTGCAATTTATATCAGCTCAATCTGAACACTTTTTCCCAATGCAATACTTCCCAGAAAAATTCTTTTTTAGAAAATGTTCACTTTTTCAATGATGTATGAATACTACAATTAGTAATTACTAGCACAAACAGTCACTTGTAGGGAAGCGTTGCTGTTAGTAATTGTAAACTAGTGTATCTCATTTGCTTGTGAACTACTGTATCTTATTGAATTGTAAGACACTTTATCCTACCTGTCTGACATCTCTGGAATAATAAAATCTTGTCCGGATTGATGATCTGAAAGCAAGATCCACATTCATGAATTATGATCAACATAATGAAATAATTATAATTTTCACGTTAGACAGAAATTCTTAAACTCCGATCATTATACAGTGGATCAAACAAGATACTTTATTGAAAATAATGGTTTTTAAGTTTACACATATTCATATTTTGAAAGTAACTGATGTATTAAGAAGAATGTCAATAAAGCTGACATTTGCCAACTGAACCTATCCAGTATTAAAGGGTGTTTTCATTATTTGTTTAGTTTTAGCTTATTTATTGCTTAACTCAATTATCAAATGCAAATGTAAATTACTGACAGTTATTTTTGTATTCACAAGTAAGACAGAAAATAAGTACCTCTAATGATTATATTTACTGGCCATAACCCTTAAGATTAAGCAATACAGGTCTAGTACATATAACTACTGCTAGGGTAAATAATTAAAGTTAGATTTTTTTTTCCAGTGATTAACAGATGACAGTAAAGTACTTGAGACAAGTTCAACATTAACCTCTGGGAACAAACATATAAAATTAATAAAACCAGCAAGTGGCATAAGAGGACAGTGACATTCATCTGGATGTACTTTTCAACTGATTTCAGTAACAACAAAGTGTCTTAAAAATGTTTATGTACAGTGTTCGACATCATCTTATTCTGTTTCCCTAACCAAAAATATTTTATCACTTGATCCTTATATGTAAGTAAACAAATGCATAAGAAGTGTTGAATACAATTTTTAAAATTGCAATTTGCCATCTTGAAAGATTTAATGAAATATGTTTAGAAAACATGCAATTATGTCATTTTACACAAGAAATATAAACAACGAATCTAGAGCCAAGTACAGGTTAGTGGCTAGCATACTGTACTATTAATTCAAGGTTCCTTGTTCATTATTACCACAAAATAAATTGTGCTCTGCATTTTAGGGACATGGGAGAATTATACTTAAAAGAGTGATGATGATCAAATTCTACTATTCAGTCTGACTAAAATAGTCTAAGAGTTGGTGGTGGGTGGTGTTAACTAGTTGTCTTTCTTCTAGTCTATCACTTCAAAATCAGGCCTTGTGTAGCTTTGCACAAAATTCAAGAAACATACAAAGGATACAAAAATGTGAAGAAAATCAAATGGAAAGTACTAATTTTCAGAATATAGGTAAACATATTGTTTAAAAAAAGAAAATTTAAGGATGTGAATGCGTAATCTGCAATGAGTATTAGGATAAAAAAAACAACTAAGTTAAATTGTATTATATTCTACACTATTTCATAATTTGAAATTATAATTATATGAATACTACAGACTTTGCTTACTTCAGCAGCAATATGTCAAAAAGTACATTGGTTGTTGAATGATAAATATACATTGTGATAATTAAGAAAGAAAGGTAGAAACTTATTTCCTTTTGGTCAAAATGTATGTTATGCCATATTACAGAATTATATTCAAAATTTAATTAAACAACTTTATTATCAATGTATATTAATAAACTTGGAATCAAATGTAGTTTATAATTCATACTTTTATATCATCTAAGTTCCAATTTCTTAATTTCAAATGGAAATATTAAAATAAATTCTCAATCTGCATCTCTCCGAGTAACGACTCAGTGGTACTCTCACTTCTCATTTATAGCTTTTTTCTTTTCCCTTATAATGCTCTCAGATTGTTCAACTCATTAGAAATACACACTACAGACACTGAGAAGCCAGAATATAAAATTTCAGCCTCTTCTTGATTTACTGACATTTCATTATATTTTTTCAACCCATATGACATACCTCACTAAGTCTGTCTTTCAAGAATTGTCTATAATTCTTTCACAATGATATTGGACATGTTTATAACCTATAAAAAGAGCACATTCTGAACTAAATAAATCAGATGATTGCTTTTGTTTTAGCAGTCAAAGCTGATAGTTTCTGAGGACAACTTGATGAGTGTATACCAAACACCTTGCCTCAAGCAATGATGGATTTTAATATATTAATAACTCAGTTAGAAAGCCAAATAAATTATATTAATTTTGGGGCATTCTATTCTAAAGCATGATGTATATTTTGTGTTCTAAAATGAATATCTGAAAGTTACGTAAATTAATTTTTGGACGAAGAAAAGGCCTCAAAGATAAAGTAAGCATTAAATTTCTTGTTTTTTTATGAATATTTCTATATTTATTGTTGTAGCTTTTTAATAAAATTAACTAAAATGTAAAAAGTAGAGCCGTATTCGGTTACATAAGAAAACTTAAATGAAGAACTTCTCAAGGAATGCATGTGAGCTACCTTCATGTGAAGTAAGTTGATAGTTTCTTTACCTTAAGATCTCCCCATTCTCAACAGGTGATTTAATGCTTCATTAAGTAGTTAAACACAGTTTTAAAAAAGAACAAAAAACTGAATAAAAACAGTAACATTAGATGCCTAAAGCTTTTAGGATAAATTATTGTAATTGTCTGTTATAATCTGCAGTTATTCTGGATTAAAAAAAAAGGTATATCGGATTTTATTTCATATTTTTCACCCTTTCATTCTCATGATTTTACTAAATTTACGCTAGAAAAAATAAAAGATAAAATATAAAGTTTTATCTAAAGAAAACTTATAATACTAATTAAGGAAGTCCAAGAGGTAGGACAAATGAAGTATGAAAACTGTAAGGAGAAAATATTTTTTTATTCTTAAAATGAAAATCACCTTGCACTTAAATTTACTGAGTAAAGGCTTCAGAAATTCACTTACATATCTTTGATGGAAACACTTTTTTAAAATTTCTGATTTTTGGTGAACAACAGATTTGTAATGTTTAATAAAAGCTTGCCAAATTTTATGAATATATGTGTGTACTATATTCAGAATTATAGTGAAAATTCCAGTAAACATTACTATATGTAGTTTCACTAACATGACAGCCCAATGGACTAATACCATACACAAAGGGTTAGTTATGTATTAGGGCTTAAAGAAAGCATTTCCTCAATATGTATCACTCTAGTGGTATGCACAAAAATGTAAAATAATGACAACTGTTTTCAATGGTTATAAGAAGTAAGTCTTTGCTTAGCCCTCTCCACATTGCATATTTCAAATTCCAAGATATGTTCATCAACAACAATCCATACCTTCATGTGGCTCCACATAAACCTTTTCCACACAGGTCATGGGTCAAAGGCATTCAAAATTTTATTGTACTACTATCTTATGAATTTATGTCAATAAATGTGGTATCAAGTTGTAGATTATAATTCATATTTTAGTATTATACATTAGTTAATTTCTTAATTTAAAAGTAAATATTAAAAACACACCTAAACATCAATTTTTATGTGTCACGTGGTATGTTGAATGCTGCACTGGTTCATATTAGAAGTTTGTGATGTCCAAATACAAAGTCTATAGTTTCTTACAAATTAGGAACTCCAATTACTGATATTGACAAGCTGGAATAAAAAATAAGAACCTGCTAGCATTTCTGTTTGCTGAGATATCGCTCATGCACTGAATCAAAAACAGTGGCCCCACCCACCTTTTTCCACTTTTGGAAACACTTCCTCATATACAATTAATTCCGTCTGTGAAAAGTGATTAACCAATCGATAGCTCAGAATGTCCCCCAAGTGGCTTTCTCAGCCATTTTCAATTATTACACTTTACACAAGTTGGTAAGTTGAGTCTTAATCTGCTCGAAATTTCATATTTTTTTAGACCCAAATACAGCTTAGTTATTAAGTTTGATAAATTATAGTGGAATTCTATGTATCGATATAGTAATTTATGATTTTTTTGGCTATTTCAAATATATATATAAAATCTAAAAAAATTATTTCGTTTCATGTCCTCCATGTCCAAAATTTGACAAGGTGTAGCAACATACAGCAAGCAGCAAATGAGTACAAAGGTCGTAACTTGACGATATAATTGTTTGCTATGCTTATTTATTGTTGACAACTAGGATTGGAAATGAAGTAACAACATTAGTGTATAAATGTAATTCCTATATGTTATTTTTCCATATTATGAACAAAGTATCTCAATGGGGCTCTTTTACTACATCAAGTCTGGTATCCCAGGAGGAGAAATTTCCAACAGTAATTAACAAAAAAACATAACACCATATAGTCTGCTTTTTCCACCATTTCAAATGCTTCAAGTTATCTTGCTATTTTCTGAGCAAGACTGCAATTACTAAACAAAAACAGATCAAATCAATTTGAAAGAAAAGTATTTTTTGGAATAAAATATTTAAACAAACTAATACTTTATAGGAAACAAAATTTTAATAAATTAATATTGATAACTTTATATTTGTATTTTTTCATGTTTCTTCAAATATTTAGTGACTTAAAAATACCCCAAAGTTCTAAAATAATAATACTCCTATAAAGTAGTCAAAACATAGTCCTAATTATTGTTAATACGGAATAATTTCACTGGGTTTTAAATTTTTAAAATTACAAATATGGTTATCAAACAATGATAATTTTACATTATTTTGTTTTTTGTACTATAACTTTGTTCATATGAGGGGTCCCCGCAAAGTTTGTGGCCTGACCTAAAATAAGAGATGCTGGTTCAACTATGATTTATTTTTAACACAATCCCCCCCCCCCCTCCGAGTCTATACACTTGCATCAGCAGTGCTTTAAGGACTTTATGCCATTCTCAAAGCACTCTTCTTCATGGCCTTCAATCCATGACTGGACAGTATGTATGAGTCATCATCACTCTGACATATTCAACCTTTCAGAAAGATTTTAAGGTTACAGAAGAGAAAAAAGTCACTTGGAGCTAAATCTGGTGAATGCAGGGGCATGATTGAGCAATTCAAAGCCAGCATCATGGATAGTGTTCAAAGCAACATACAATTTGTGTGCTGGGGCATTGTCCTGATGGAAAAGCACACCTTTTTTGAGCAATCCTCTTCTGTTTTCCATAGTTATGAATCTAATGAAACCTTTGGAGTAGGTATTGGCTTTCAAAAATTCGATTCCACTACTGCTCAGGTGAAAATATTTTTGGGATCCATCTGGTACTAACCTTACCCATGCCCAAACTGTCACTCAAAATGCTTACTGCAGTACTTCTACTGATTCCCACTTCCTCTACTAACTTTCTAATGGTAATTATTCTATTATATATAACCAGATCATGAATTTATCTACAATTTCTGTTGTGGTCAATGTCAAGGGCTCAGATCATCTTCACATGATTGTCTACTGCCCTTAAACTCAGCACACCACTTCTTCACTGTTGAATATGCTGGAGTATCCTCTCCTAACATTACTTCCTTGTTCTGGTGGATTTCTTGCAGTGTCATCATCTTTTTTAACAAAATATTTGAGCCTGGCACAAAGTTAGTCTTTTCCATGGAATTTAACACTGCTCACTTCTTTCCTTCAAAGTTCCAAATCACACAAAATAAAGTTAAGTTATATGTTGTTCAAACTTAATATTTATAAGAAAAAATCACACATTCCAATTTTCTTTTTAGGTCAAGCCACAAACTTTTCAGATAACCCTCATATGTTTATTTTCTAATTAAAACCTTTAATGTTATTCAAAATATTGAAATTTAGAGCACAAGTTAGCTGTTTAACAATGACTCTCTCATTCTGCATCGTTACCAACTAACCACAGTTAATTTTTACTTTTACGAATGAAAATTACATCTTATTCTTACATTAGTAACACATCATACTCTTATAAATATTTTATACAAAGCATAATTTTTTCTATTGATTTATAATAAATTTCATAATGAAAAACAAAAAGTTTTCATTGACGTCCTACCTGGTTTTCTACCACAAAGATAATAGGCCAACCTATCAGTTAGTTCATACTGACATTCAACAAGCCTGTCTACCAAATCTGTATGTCCAGCATCCCTGTTGTATATCAAAAACATGTTAGATTTACTTTTACTTTAAAAAAGCAATCAAGACATCTCACTTCCCAAACAAAAAAATAAGTTTATTTAAACTAAAATAACTTAAGAGAAACACTTAAGTATTTATAATAATATTTTACCTTATATAAAAAATTAAAATGAGATAAACCATTAAGTATTGATTCAACAGTTGAACTCAGTGATACCTAAAGGGTCAACTATTTTCATCTGATAGGCCAAACAGAGTTGTCAAAATATATGGAATGACTTATTAAAATGATATGAGCTCATGGAATGAATAAAAATTATCACTTGTAGTGACACAAATTATGTAGGTTCAGTTTTATAATTCAGAACATTGAAAATGTATACAAAAAACTTATATTTCATTGTATGGTTTAAAATTTGCAGTTTTTTCTTTGTTGTCAGATATGATACAGAATATACATATGCAACAATAAACTTGATTGTATTTATAACTAAGTTCTAAATATAATGAGGTTCCAACTATAATATTTATTGTTTACCTATTATTGGCTGATAATTCCCGTTTCACCCTGTACTTAAGCTTTTTAAAGGAACACCGAATTTTTGTAAGAAAGCTAACTTCTAGGGGTAATGTAAAATCATTTACACTAGAATAATGATTTTTTTATTACTACTAGTTAGTGATATTTATAAAAGTGGAAACTCCATTTGAAACTATGTCATCTCAGTGAATTTGGATGACACCATTGTTTTGGTTTTCGAGTTATCACGTAATAAAAAAGCAGCAGCAGAAAGAACAAGAAATGCAAACCTTTTCCTATGATATTTACAGACATTCACAGAACTTGTGACTCAGTCATTACATAGATATTGTTATAAAAAGAAACACTGTAAAGTATTGTAAAGTTCTGATGATCTATTGAGAAGATATTTAAAATACCATTTCGATGAACAAATGAGCCATCCCTACATTGGCAATGCTACCACCTGCCTGATATTTTATGTAGATCATGCATGTTTCAAATTACATTAAACATTTGGAGAGCTTTGTTAGAGGTTGATACTGAAACAAGTATGCTGTAAAAAAAAAGTTTCAGATTCTGTGTTTAGTGAAAACAAAAATGTGAAATTTATACAAAAAATTCTAAGACTTATTAGGAAAAATTAGTGTAATAACAATAGAATAAAAACAATTATATTTTAATATATCTTAATGTAAAGTTATTGTGATCATTATGATGTGGACTTTTTGCTTGATATAACTCCAAGTTAGTTCCAATCAAAGTCAAAGTTACATATTGTGATAAGGTTCATTACAAAACTTGCTCACACAAATAACAGGGGTAAAAATGTTACTGGTTAATAAACAAATAAATATCTGATTATGTTCTCTTGGCATTCTTGAAAGAAAAAAGCATAAACCTTTTAGGGTCAGGACCTTTTGTTTTCAGGGTCAATGGAGTTATTACATAAATAATATTTTTCCTTGGCCTCATGAATACTGCATTGCAATCACAGCCTATTTAATGATTAATACAGTATTCAAATTTGTAAGTATCAACTTATTGATTTTTTTATTTTTTTTATTGTAACTTGCCATATGATTAAAAAGCTGGCAAGACTTAGTGTATAAAGGATAGCGATTGGTTAGTATTTGTCTCATAATAGGAATTTTGTAGGTTCGAGATGTGTTTGTGCCTGTCGTAACTTTCACCACAACACAAATTCATTAAAATTAGAGGTATGGTGTTACTAACATAACACATATACAATGTACAAAAAATAAATGTATAGTATATTTAACATTAAAAGTGAATAAAGTTAGGGAAAATATAACTTACAATGTAACAAAATGTAAAAACATTCTTATTCAGAATTGAAGAATACAGTTATAAAACTATATATTAGAAACATAAAACAATTTAAAACATACAGTATATTTGCACTTTATTTAACATTAAAGTAACCCAAGAGTTGTAGGTAGGTGTTGCCAGCCAGTTGCCCTTCTTCAAGTCAGCAGTTCAACATTAGGGACAGTGGCAGATAGCCTTAGCAGTTTTGCTATAACTCAAAAAGAATGGTATAAAAATAATACCCTGGTGGCTAAAATGTCGGACAAATTCGGTGGCAACAAGAACTAAACCTAGACACTCAAATAATGAGGTAGCCCCTCTAATCACCGGGCTTTGCCGTACTAAAGCTGAAAAAACTAGAATTACTAATTAAAAAGCATTACAGCACTAGAAATCTGAGTTTTGATACATAAGGTGGACAAAGCACAGGTAGCCCACTGTGTAGCTTTGTGCCTAACAACAAACATAATGGTAATATTTTTCAATTACGTTGATAGTTTGAATAATCTAAATAGTAATAATCTGAAAACCTAATTTCAATTATTTTTATGCATCATGATAGTTATCAATTCAGCTGAACAAATCTCAATTAATAGAAAACAACAATGAAAAATCATAATGACAATATTTCAGTTATTGGATAGTTGGAATAATCAAAAACAGTTATATGTGGAAACATGTACTAATTATTTTTGCGACATTAATCGATTTAATCATAATTTCATTTAATTGATTATTTTACATCACACAAGTCAATGTAACTGATGCTCATAGGTTACTGATTATATTGATTAATATAATCCCAGCTCTACCACAAAGAGTAATAAATACTGTGTGTTTAACATATAATCTTAACCCATGAAATATTAACATATTTGTCAATATATAAGCACAAAACAAAACTGGCTGTGTTCATTACCTAGCATAATCAACAGGGGTTTTTCCATATCTGTCCTGAGCTGCAGGGTCAGCACCATAAATGAACAACAATTCCACCTGAGAAGATTGACCAGTTTTTGCAGCTAAGTGTAATGGAGTATTTCCCCTTTCCTGGAAATTATGGTTTTCAAAATATAAATAACATATACATTCCTTACTTTTTAAACTTTAAAAAACAACTGTTTTGAAATTACATAAGTTTATTTTCCTTTTTACAAGAAAAAAGAAGCTGGATTCACTATGGAAGTCAATTGGAGTAAACTGCTGCAGCTGCCAATTCAAAAAAGGAAAGTTGTAATTTGTAGTATCCACTCAAAGCAAGTTTACAAAAAAAAAGTGCTTGCTTTTAGCTTCAAGCATTTACTTATTTTAAAGCCATGTTTATCAAACTGCATTTATTCATTATAAGAAAATTAAGTACTACAAAAAAAAAAGAAAGTAAAATAAAAAACAAAAGAAATAAATCAGTTCTTTAAATGCCCAATTTGTAAAGCATTCAAAATGCAGTTTCAAAACTCACAAGACAAATCTTTAAAAATTTGATATAAAATACACTGGTTACAGTAGAGTAAAATACATTTTTATGTTTAAATATCCATTCACTGATTTATTGTTCCATGCGTTCTAAGATAATACAATGTCATTCAACTATAAACAATTATTTACCCATCTTTTACAAAACAGAGATATTTTACAAACAAATCTGAAATTTGAAGCTTACTGGGTGGATATAGTTTGGGTCAGCTCCACGAGACAAAAGTCGAAGGCTAGTTTCTAGGTTGGCTGTTCGAACACTGGAGTACAGTTGCTTTTGGGTAAAAAGACATTTGTACTGATAAACAAGATAACTCAATGTAAGTTATAAGATTTCAAGTTAAGTTCTTCAAAAAAAACAAAATTTAAAAGATTTTAAAGAGTATATGCTTTAAAGCTGCTTTGCTTTTAAATTTGAAAAGTAAAATCAAACTATAAAAGAATGGTGGACTACATAAGTAATATTCAGAGCAAGCCTGGCCTACTCAGAGTAAAATATAATGTCAATAGATACTATTTCCTTTTTATATTTATTATTATTCATGCAGTATTCTATAATTCTATGGCACAAACATCAGTTTTTGTTTCATTTTTATGATATTTATACTACATTTAGTTTTCAATTAAAACAAACACTGACTATATTGGTACTACCTATTCTGGTTTGCTCACACATTCTGTTTTTGTCCGTGATGTGGATACTTTAGTTGTATCAAAGAAAAAAATTAAAGCTATTAAGCTTGCATTACATAGTTAACAGCAGGGGTGAAATTCTGCTAGTACTCAGTACCAGAACTTATTTTATTGCTAGTACTTAGTACCTGGACTTATATGATCTGCTTTTCATCCAGTTCATATGCTTTCCATTGTACTGTCAGAAAGCAGACATTTCATGACTCACAGAACATAACAATCATTAAATATTCTTCAAATGGATGAGCAAATGATCTAACAATGTTAGTTCTTGTTGCCAACAAGATCACGAGGAGAGGTTATTTAGCAGCTTTGATATCAATGATTATTAAACTAATCTGGTAGCCTGGTGTGGCACTATGATTTGTAATGATTGGTCAATAACAATAAATATATCCAGATGATGTATTTCACCGACTAATGTGCTGTGATCAGTACCCACCCCTGATATTAGCATGACTAATTCTATGACAACAATATATTTACATTGTAAGTAGGTTATATAACTCTTGTGAAAGTTCTTTACAAAAATGAAACTAGTGGATGAAATTGTTTGAAATTTGACACAAACTTTTCTAAAAGTATGTAGTTTCAGAAAAATATTATTTTTTTTATTTTTTCTAGTATTTTAATAAAAGATTCATTAACGTAGATATTTGCACTCACACTCTGAATAGTTCACCTGCAAGATGATTTTTTTATTTTGAGTATAAAAATACTATTTATTACCTTACAGTTTTCAAATTTTATTTGCATAATCCCTAGAACCTCTGAAATGAATATCAAAAGTTTTTTTTAAGGTAAATGTTTATATTTTATTTTCTATTTTCTCTACCATATCACTAACTCTAGCTATGATTATCAACGTAAAGTACATTGAAATGTTTAAAATTAAGAAATGGAAATATATACTTACCATTATAGAATAGTCTTAAAATATCTTCTTTGGATCATATGTGCAATTTCACATCTTTATCTTTTTACTTATGGTTTACTTTTAATGTTTTATTTTCCTTTCCAATTCTTTGTCTTTTATTATTTATGTTGCTACACCAACTGATGCCTGTGGGCCATTATACACATATGATGGGCAGACTCTAGGCATAGATGCATTTACCACATGCAAAATGACACTTGCACATACTAATTTTTATAAGCATTCACGGCGAGTCAACCACAATTAAATGTAAAAAAATCATTAAACCATTGAAATATGAATTTTAAAACACAAATAATACATAATTAATTAAAATATAAATGCAATTTAACTGTATCAATCTGATATATATAAGGTGAGCAATATATAGTCTAGAGCTAGGGACACCACTCTAGACAATGGACTAGCCTTCTTTTCTACTTAACATGTACAAACCCAGATACTGCTAATTCCAACAAATAGCATGAAATCTGCTCTTTCTATTGGTTATAAACATGCCATTCAACTTAAAACTGTTGCTTAGCTACACAGCTTCTACTTTGATAGTGGCATGGCTTATCTTTGACTCTGGAAATTTTACAACAGTTTTTATCCAATTCTAGTTCTTGACAGTACTTAAATTACTTCTAAAGAATCTCAAATTTGTATTTTGACTATCTGAAGAAAGACAGTCTACATTCTCACACTTGTTCCTCCTATATAGCTCTAAAGTTGAGATTTTGAACCAAGGTCACAAAACATACTGAAATTTTAATTATTGTTTAGAGGTTTCTTTTGAAATAAAGGAATTAAAACTTATATAAAACTTTGAATTAGAATGTACTTGATAATAATAATAATTTCATTACAATACACTTATAGTAAAGTGGTTTAATTAAATTTTGAATGCAACTCAGTAGACTGCACAGAAAGGGGTGTAAAAATGGCATTGTCATAGGGTTAGTCTTTTTTTTTTGTCACTCAACAGAATGAAGAAAACAAAACATAAAATTTAAATTTATGAATTTTTTTATTTACTTCCTTGTTTAATATATATTTGTTTTGTTAAAACCATCAAACAACGATTGCAGGTATTTTGTTCTTTTAAGTAAACTATACTATAAATTACATCTATGTGCAAGATCTTTTGTTGTACACACATACAAGTACTGATATTATTTTGTTGAGAATTTCATTCCTGGTTTACAAATAACAGAAAATATATAATTATCATAGACTGTTTTTAAACATTTACATATAAAGCATAAATTTTGCTAATAAACACACAAGTTTCTATAATAATGCCACTCATAAAAATTATGATTATTTCATATTAAATGAATTTTTGCAGGCCATGTATTTTTTACTTGACAAAACATTTATGGAATACAGTCAACATATCTTTCACAAAATACAAAGAGTACCTACAGGACTTTGAAATTTCATACTTAAGAAATCTTATTGAAAAAGGCTACAATAATAAAACTTTGCACATTAATCATGTGGTTGTAGATATTCTTATACTTAATTACCAAGATTTTCCTAACACAATTGAACAAATTTTTCCATTTAAACTCACTCTTGGAAAAGTTCTTTCACTAAAAACAAAGTATAGTACTTATATTCATATATTACCATATTATTCTAACATTCAAGTTCAAAGTTTTCAATAAAATGGATGCTTTTACCCTTGAAGTTATAAACTTTCAAGTTCCATATACAAATATTCCATAAAATTTGTGTTACAGTGTTTACTACACACAGCATATTAGATTCAATAGAATTTATCTACATTACAAGACTTTGTAGACAGAGCTTGTAAACTCTATTACATTTTGGTTACCAAATTCATTTACTTTTGCAAGAAATTTGACAGTTTTCTTGCTATCAGTTATGGGTTTAAAAATTTTAGAGAATATCACTACCTTTTCAAAACGTTCATATATATACCTTAACTTTAAAAATTGTTTACGTTAATACTGAACCACTGTAGTGTATTTATCACCATTAATTCTACTCCCATTAGTTTAAGCTCTTACTATATACAGTATTGAGTACATTGTTGTAAAACAATTTTAAATATGGAAATAATCAACTCATGTGGAAATCATAGCCAATATAAAGTCTCAGTGGTAAGGCCATGTATCAGAACCACATTTTGACACAGTCTATTTGGTACAAGACGATACCGTATATTTTCTAAGTGGAAAGTTGTTCAAGCAAACACCTCTTAAATTGGCTTCTGATTAGCTCTGTCCAGGACGTGCTTCAGTAATAAGAAATTAATAGTTTCTTGCAGGAAAGACAGTACATGATGTCCAGAAATAGAAAGCTGTCTTTCCTGTTGGCAAATAGAGTAAATTCCCAGGATTTCTCCATTCAAGCATGAAGGGATGAAGGTCATGTGAAAGTGAGTGATATGTCTAACAATGCAGTGAAATTTAGGTCTGATAAAATAGCTGCTGATGTAAAGAGAGCAGTTCACAGGCAAAACCCTTAAAAGACAGTACTTCACCATTCGGTTGGATGAAAGTAGCAATATTTCCAACAGCATCAACCTTGTATTCATTCAATATAAATTCAGTGACAAAATTCACAAAAATATTTGTTTTGTAAATTACTACCAATGCACAATACATCTGAAAGTCTTTTTGAAGTGGTTAATGATTTTATTAAAAGTCATGACATCCTCTGAACAAATTGTGCTGGTCTTGGTACAGATGGTGCAAGAATTATGTGCAGTAAACATAACAGATTAATTACATGCATCCAGTTTGTGGCATAAGCAGTTTAATGTACCATTTACTGCCCTTTGTGTTGATAACAGAATTAAGCATCAGCATCTTGTTTTGCACACTTAGATGTATTGGATATCAGAAGGAAAAGTACTCAATTGCCTGTTTGAGTTATGTGCTGAAGTAACATTGTTTTGCAGGATACCACTTTTGACCCAAGTATAAAATAAACTACCAAATAAATTTGGCATCAAAACATAGTTAATAAATTAAATTTTAATATTATATAACTTTACTTTATTAATCTTATAAGTGAATACTATACAAAATCCTCAATCTCCCTTAGTATGAGAATCATGACATTTGTTTTCTAGGTCTTCACTCTTCTTTAATTTATTTACCACCCCTCTCTGAAGTATTGAATTTAACATAAATCACCCATTATAATACAGATATTACTAAGTCAAAATATAAATTTTATAGCCTTCAATCTTATTTGTTTATGCAGTCATAAATTAGAAATTCAGACCCACTAGCCATGCCCACCTGTCGTAATCTCTGTTTCACAAATTGCCAATAATTCTTTCTGATGTTTCATACTATATTATTTATAACCAATAGAAAGGCAAAGTTTTAATCTACCAAATGACATATAATGCTACCTTGTTTTCAGTGCAGAGTAGTCATCTTTGTCCTCAATTGAAAAGTTTATTTGTGGTGTTCAGATCGAGCAGCTAAGGGATTTAAATTAAACCTTTTGTCTTAGTTAAAAAGTCAGTTAAAATTATAATAGTAATAGGACATTGTTTGGTTTGTGCATGATCTTATTGTGTTATTAGGTGCATTATTTAAGTAAATAAAAATTTTGTGAACTAGTACCATTAATATAATAAAGTAGGTTTAAATTTCATTGGGAACCAATAGCAAAGAAAAACACAAAAAAAACAAGAGGTCAAAGGTAAGTACTATATTTCCTGTTTTTCATGTATATTCTTTATTTATGGCTATAAAAGTAATTCAAATGTAAAAATTAGAAAGTTATTAGGTTAGATTAGGTAAGATAATGAAAAATAATGATAATTAATAAAAATTCTTCAATAGGGTAATATGAATTACTTGTTTGCCAAGTGATTTACAACTTCAGTGGTAGGATTATTAATTAGACATGGTTTGGAGGGCAATAAAACAATAAAATTAAGTAGAAAACAGATGTAGACTGTTAAAAGCCTTAAGCTATTTAGGATAAACATTTGTAGTTTTCTGTTACAATTTAGTTATTTTGGAAAGGAAAAAAAAAAAGAGTAATTTAGATTTATTTAATTTTATTTTATGGTAGTTACAAGGACAGTCAAATCAACTGAGTCCATATAAAGTAACAGAAAATAACAGATAAGATATAAAGTTTTACAAAAAAAACATTTGATATTTATTAAGTTTTATGGGTTATGCAAATACAATTTCAAAATTTTTAGATGAAGAAGAGTATTTTTAATCTTAACATAAAAATCACTTTGCATTAAAAGCAGTCAACACTTTAGTTCCATATATAAATAAACAAATCTTTAGTAAAAATACTTAATTAAAAAATCTGATTTTTGTGTACAAGAGACTTGTAATGTTTACTGAAGGCCTGCTGAATTTTGTGAAGATACACAAAACATATTAAAAGTTATAGTATGGAAACTCTGATGGTTACTTTGTGGTTATGTGGTTGGTCAGGTTGACTGATCCTGTATGGAAAAAGTTAATGATTTTGCCATATAAAATACAAAAGGTTATAAAGAAACACCTTCAATGTATTAGACTGCAGTTTATAGAACACTTTCCTTTGCCTGATGCTAGCAATAACTGAATTAGGAATCTATTTGCCAAGGAAGTGCAAACACACTTATTATTTGGTTTATAGTCAAATCATCTGTGTAAGGTGGCTTTTTTTGAATATATAAATGGCTTTAGCTAAATGGTTGTTACTATCTTAAACTGCTCGAAAAACTTTTGTCAACTAAAGAAAGTAAAAAATCTTGGACTGGTATATTACACTACAGGGAGCTTGTACTGTATTTCAAGGGATCTATTATTATTAAAAAACATTCGGTTAGTCCTAGTCCTACCAAATACACATTTGAAAAAAGTTTAATGGAATATCCAATAAAACAATTTTAACAAAAATTATTTTCTGATGCACCATATCCATTTCTTAGCAATAAGCAAACACTAGAGCAATTTCATATGTTTATAAAACTATTAAACCTCCTATCCCATGCTCATTATTTTAAATATACATGTATTTTTATTAGGGAAGAAACCTTTTATAAAGGTAATGCAGTTTGAAACATAGGAATAAAATACACAAAATGTATGTAGACAGTTAAAATGGTAGGCCAAGGAAAGATTAGCCAATAATACTTCAGAATAAAAAAAAAATATTTTTCATAGCCTTCCCAAGTTAATGAAAGATGAAAAGTTAACATAAAGAAAAATAACAGCTGAAAATAAAGTCAAAAAATGTTTATTGGTGATTATGATCATTACACTGCAAAGTTTAAAAACTTATATGTTTAATGTTAACTTGCAAGATTAAAATTACAGAAAGTTAATTTTCCTGTCTCTGTAGAAAAAACTAATTATACATGTGAAACTAGGCTAATATTTACATGGCAAAACACAAGAAAACTTTGAAAACAGGTTATAATACAAAAACTATAAGGTATGAGGTTATGAATTAGGAAATTTAGATTTGGCAAGCTGCCATAAACAAAAAAAAAGCTTTTTCTCAGACTTAATTTGAAAAAATTCATCTTTGTTTATATTTTACTAAATGCAGGTTATCACTATCTAACTAGGAGTGAAAACTTTACATATTATTTGATAATTTATTAACCCAAAATTATGCAGAAAGTATTTTTTCATTTCATCAGTTCTTACTGAGTGCTGTAAAGAATACACTAAGGATCTTAAAATTTGGTTTTGGTTACATTAAACAAATATCATTCCCTTTTATTTTTTACAAACTAAGCAAAGAGGAGACACATACCTTATTCAAGTCTGATACTAACAAAGGACCTTCATCTCTACTGGGTCTACGAACAAAGGCTAGGTTCTGATGTTTGGCTCGAATAAAATCAGCTTTTGTTGGACTGAAACAGAGGAATCACAGAAAGTTTTGCAAAAATCACAGCAATAATTCAAAGTTTAGCTTACCTACTGTTTAAGTACATAATAAGTAGTGTTAGTCAAAAATTTACCATTATGTATAAACCAAAGAAAAAAGTGTTATTATTAACATAAAAGTTCAGTGCCTTGTAATACTATTTTTCAATGATATAATTTTTCTTCTCTTAGTGTTAAAGTACAAAATAATGCTACAACACTTAATGCATAAATCATTATGCGAGTTTTAAAGGTTAAGAAAACTTGTTGGATTAACAATGGCAAAGTAAAAAAGAAAAATCTTACTCACTGAAGAGGATCTTTGGCATTTGGTTTTCTCCGTTCACTTTTGTGTGGGCCAGGATCTAATAAAGTGTACTCCCATATAGAATTAGCACCACAACTGTACAGAGTATGAACCATCTAAAAATGAAAAAGAGTTCATAAAAACTGCATGTTATTTTACTTCTAAAAAACATTACATTAGCAAAAAATATAACAAAACTAAGTATCAGATTGTAGCTAATATTCAGCTTAAATGCTATGCCATAACAAAAGAAATTAATATGCTTTTTATTTTGATTAAAAAAAACCTTCAATTACAATATCATGTATGTGGATAAAATAGACTTACATAAAACTAACCACAAGCTACAATTACAGAGTTGATATTGAATGCGAGTCAAATTTATTATTCAGTTGAGGTTTTTCAAAAATATGGGAAATTCCCCACCTTTTTCAACACAAACAAGTTTGTTACACTAACAAATATTATTGTGTTTTTTTTTTACTCTTCAAAAATTATGTCAAACGTGACAAAATTCAATCCCCATTCACTTCCTCTTATGTGCTTTAAAACAAATTAAAATAATTAAGCTTCAATTTTATTTACAACAATTCTCATGGTAAAAGTCAATAGCTCTTACAGTAATTGTAGCATTTCTTTTGGATTTTTAACACCCAATTTTAACTCTTTGAAAAGTTATTTCATTCTTAGTCTAACCAACACTAAAACCGAGATACCAGTAGAAAGTTAATATGGAAACTAGTGTAAACATCAAATACCACTTTTAATACTAATAAACATTCATACCAAACAAAGAAATAATGTTCCTGAAAAACATACAGAGAGATTTAACAGAAGTTAAGAAATATAAAGAAAATAAACTTACAAGAAATTGTAAACTAAAGTACATAAATACCTATACAACAGATTAACAGCAATGTTTATACTATGAATGTGTGTAAAACTCCAGATCTTCCAAATGTTAATTTATGTTAAGTATATGTAACTGATTTAGAGATGTTATTTCATTTAAAACAAAAATTTTAAATATTTCTCTCTGAACTATTTGCCAGAATGAAACAGGGTAATTTTTTTAACTTGCAAAATTGCATTTAGCCTAAATCACAACCTTGATTTCTCTTATTGTCTTTCACTAATGACAGCATTTGCTTTAGGCACACAAGCAACAAATACTTACAGATAACTGAGATGGACACCAAGCACCCTTTTTTAGTGACTTTACTTGGGAAATATGTCTTCCAAGACTACGATGGACACTGCAGCATTCATCACATATCAGTATTCCACGGTTTAATGAAGCCCATGTGGGGTCTAAAAGTAAGTAAAAAATCTTTGCTTGAGCACAAGAATATTTTTATACCTGTAATGCAATGTTTTACTCAAAAATGTACTGTATTCGCTTACCAAAAAATACTGTTGACTTGTGCATGTCATTAGCAAAGTATTTAAGCATGATGTTAGAATGAGTGAACAAGTGTACAAAAACTCTGGCTACAAAAGTATTTCAAGACTGAAGAAAAAAAATCAAGTTATTCTCTGAGACTGCTTTACTTACATTTGGAAGGCAGAAATGAAATAATGAGCAAGAATGTACACTTAATTGAAAAAATAAATTAAAACATCTAGGGGAAGCTAACTTCTCTTATTGCATTTGTGGCAGTTTAATAAGTATAATAAGTTATATACTGGCAGAGTAAAATACCTTTAATAAGCTGTTAAAGATTATTACACTTGTATTATAAGGATGTACTTATATGTCTTCCATCCCTTTAATTAAACAGTAACAATTTTAAGAGTTATGTTGTTTTTCATAGTGCCCTGGTTGGACACAGGGGTGCTCAAGTGACATACTAACTTTCATTTTCCTTGAATGACAAACTGTGCTAAGTGAGAATTAAAAGCCTACTTACTGGTTCTTTTACTGGAATAAAATTACTGTGTTTAATTTGTGAGTTTTTCTTGTCAGTGAATCAGATAACAGTTGTGGATGAAACTGCCCTTGATCTTCACTGCCTGTTGGCCAACAGATCTAATAAGAACTGATAGCTGCTCTCTTGTATCAGTAACTTTAAGATGTATTGACATAATTAAGGCAGCATTTAGATCTAGGGAGAGCAGATTTTGATACAGAATTACACAGTTTCATAAGGTTTAATACAGTTTAGATACAGAATTTTAATAGAGATTTACAAGTTTTTTTTCATAAGATTTTTCAGAGACTTTGTGCTGAGTGAGCTGTTATTTATTTGTTTGTTTTCTGTATGTGTTCAGCAGAAACTCATAGGTCACTGCTGTTTTTCTGTTTTTCCATACCATATTCTTAACCTCATACTGGGAGCCTAAAGTTCACAATAAGTGAACTCATAGGTTACTGCTGTTTTTCTGTTTTTCCATACCATATTCTTAACCTCATACTGGGAGCCTTTATGGCTTCTAACTGTTCTTAATTTCAGCTGAGTTAGAAGTTTGCCATAAACAAAATTGTTTTCACTTTTGTTTTAACATTAATGTACTTGAAGCAAAGTAATTGAAGTGAGTAAACATTGTATTGTGTTATTTTAACTTTCGCACTCATCTTTTGAAGTGAGTAGTGTGTTTTAAGGAAGGTGTAAGAAAGTATAAATTTTGGTAGTTAGTTTCAGCATTGAGGTAGCTGAACTTTTGGTTTAAACTTGTTTTGAAGTTAATGTAACTTGAGTAGATTTATTATTCACTTTGCATTTAACTTAACTTGGGGTTTTACTTTTATTTTTAAACAATAGTATAGTCTAAATTACAGGGGGGGGAAACACATTAAACTGATAAGAGCTCAATTAATAGTCTTCATTTCTTTCTTTTCACTTCCACACATACTCATTAATCAACTGCCCTCAAGTTTATTGTATTGTATTAATTATTTGTATTATTCGTCGTGACAGTGGTAATAAATTATCATTTTTTTCTTTAAGTAAAATTGTGTCTGTTCTCATTATTTGCAACTTATCCATTGCAAATCATCAGAAAATCTACTACTAGTTATCTATGATACCCCACACTATTCAAGCCAAATCAAACCTTTCACTTAAAAAAATTATTTAAACAACAATAAACATTCCCTTATTAATTCATAAGAAACAAAGAAACTTATCTGCACCCAATGTATGTGTGCAAAAGATCTAGATTAACACATACTGAATGATTTCATGTGAATTCCCAATGAAGGGCAACACAGATTATACTGATATGACAGCGGAGGTCACGTGACGCTGGGAGCACGTGCGTTGGATTTTCTAGAATTATTGGAGAACCCCGCGAATGTCCGAGTGTTTGCTAGACGCCCTCTTTTTTAGTATATAAGCTTGGCAAAGAAAGCCAGCGATATAGAGATAGATAGATTGATTGGAGATATAGATAACTGAGTCAAGCAAACAGTAGACACCATAAATAAAGTGTGTGAATTGCTGTGAATTATAGCCTGTGTTTATAAAAGTAGTTAAGTTTAAAGTGACTGTGGAACTTCTGTGTTTTACAAAAAGTTGTATCAAGAAAGAATAAACTAGTTTTAATCAATACAGGACTTGTATCACTGAAGTTCTTCGGAAAGTATTTCTACCAGAAATTAACAAACAAGCAGATATGTAACAATATATATTGTAGACCTCTTTGTGACTAATAAAGGTAAGATAATAGGCAAGCAGATATGTTAATGCTGTAGCAGCATATCTTTTGAAAGCAAGTTTTCAATTTCTCTTTGTTAGATTCATTACTCTTAAGTCAGAGAAGGATACTTATAATGTTAAGTTTCACAATCTTTCTTTATCAAGATGTTATATCTTTTCAACTAACTAAGCTACCCTATTTAAGTTTCTATAACAATTTATGTACATCAAGATGACATAGATTTGATAAAACAATAAGTGAAGATTTAAATGTTTTATGTGCCTACAGCAAATATTTAAAATATTTCATGTAAATATTAAATTAATACTGACAATTCTGTACCATTAACTTTTCTTGTTCACTACATTTTTTCTCTTCTCTGTACATAGTAATTTTTCTCCTATTATAAGAAAAAGGCAATATTAAAAAGAACAAAAAGAAATAAGCTTTATCCTTGCCATATATATATACATATATCCTACACATTATTATTTCAACACCACATATCATGATTCATTTGCATTTGTGAGTTTTACTACCTATTTTTCATTACAGTATAGGTATTTTCTTATAGTATTTTCTATAGCTTGTGTATGACAATCAATTAGCAAGTTTCATGCAGCTAATAATTACATGAACATACAAAAACAGGGCTTGGTATCACATATATTTTCTTATCACCTGTTACTTTTTTTAAATCTACAGCATGTCACAGATCAGGTTATAATTTGGTATCCCTTCATAATTGATGTTTTGTAATATACACTTCATATTATAAAATATCATTCTATGCAGTTTATGTTTATTTTGAGTCTCTTATTCTCTCTATTAATATTGTTTACAGAGCTTCTTATAGTGCTAGAAGTACGGGAGGTAATGTTTTGGTGGGTTATTGGTGTTTAGCAACCCAATGTTGTTTTTGATGGGTTATTGGTGTTTAGCACGATAGTCCCATTTACACCATATACCTTAATCTATATACCTTAATTATATTTTAAGGCCTTACTTTAACCTTTGGATGTGTACCCACAATTTGGTCTAATGAATTGCTCAAAATTTACACTTTAAAAACTTTCATGACTGATTAGGGGAGCATAAATCCACTTTCTGGGTGTAGCAATACACAGTAAGTAACAACATTAATTATAAATTACATCTTTAATTATAAAATGCTTATTTCATCAATTCTCACTATATGGATATGTCACACTACTTTATAAATTACTTATTTTCTCCACTATGGTTATTAAAAACTTCACAATTCATTTAACATATCTAGTAAATTTTACATGATTAGTATACAAGTAATCTGTTGTTGTCATAACAGTCAACAATATAACATACAAATAGTCAGCAAAATTGTTGAATAGCAAATTTCAAGCAGTTCAGTGAACAAAAGCATATGACTTATGGCTAAATGTTAAAAGTAAAAAACTTCATGTTATAACTGCTAAACTATTTTCTTTGACTAATACACTGAAGCCAAGGCTCACTTTGAGTTTTGTTTATGGGCATCTGCAGAATTTTTTCCAGAGGTGGGCAAAATAGTGTGAAATTGGGAGGTGAATAAAAAATTCATATACCCATGCTGAATGAATAAAAAAAAATTATGATTCTCTCATTTTCTGGGGAGGGTGGCAAATGTCCATATGGGGCTCTTAAATAGCACTATATGTCATTGGGTTACTTCTGTTCTACCCTTTAATAATCAAAATTAGTTATTTCCAAATATATTATGGTTTCTTATGATATAAAAAACACTCTGGGCCAGCATTACATATATATATATATATATAATCTAATATTATAATATATATATAATATAATCTAATTGACATCATTAGATTACTCCAGTTCTCCCCTACAATAATCAAAAAGGATTATCTCAAAATTTACAATATATTTACATATATATA